CGTAAGAAGTAAACTGCTTCGAGCGGTGAGCTCTTTGATATGTTGGCAGCCGGACGTCGGAATCAGAAAAGCTGACTATTGATTGAATTGACTTGAAGATGTGGAGGCACAGTTGTTCAGAGGCCAGCTTTGAACTCTGAAGGTGCCGAGTTCGAACCTGCTCATGGTACAACTTTTGCCTTGACTGCAAAGTCCCTAATGTAAAGAATCACTCTCACGCTGGTTCGGCGCAACCAGCAGAGATACAGATCATAAGTTTGTTACTACCCAGTAATGAACAAAGAGAGACAGCGCTTTTGTTCGGGTCCGATCATGCCAGAATACATGAGGTGTACGGTCATGCTATTTTATGGAGTGACTTCACTGATAACTGACCATGCAGTGTAACAATCCGCACTTGGTGTAACCGCGATTTTGAATTGTTTCTATATAGTAGAAACAACAGATTTATTGCTTTTGATAAACAAATCACCGACAATATTAAAGGTATCAATAATCACATCTTCATTTGTTATTGTTATTCATTAAGATCATGACAAGCAGAACGTCTCTGGTTTGCGACTTCCGTCGTATACGAAGCATTTCAACACATTTGCTATCAGGCACCAGTCACTGAATCGCGGAAAGAATTATTTCACTCTGAAAGCAGATCCGCCTCTACTTTGTTCTACAGCGCTGAATGCTGACCACCCGGTGGACGTCTGCGATCGTGTTTCGGCCACACACGCTAAGCTCACTGGCTGGCGTCAATCATATTCGCTCAACTAGTTTCTCTAACAGAACAAACCTCCCATTCGCAATCTCCAAATCTACTGACGTCACCTTGCTCAGAGGGAATAGGCCCTCGTGTCGTTTAACCCTCAACCTGAGTCGAATTAGGTGGAAGAAACGATACGGCCAGTTATCACTGAGTTTCATAGGGTTGGCTTACATAGATGGGTTCCAAACTGCCGTTTGGTTTATATTGCTACAGTTGTCTTTTCCCCAGATCTAACCGTAAGGCAGTGGTAGGGACCAACGTGTTATTAGCGAGTCACTTTCGAGTCGACATGAAACCGTCATATGATCACATACGTCCATTTTGTAAGTGAGAGGATTGCTGTCCACTACTGCCTATGCGTCACAGCTGACCTTCACGTCTGGCTGTCGTTGCCCCTATCCGCAACCTTGGGACTTGCCAGGTGGTTCGCAGCTAGGCTTACTGGATCTTTTATCCAGATATTTTTATTCCAGAATTTCAAAGTCCTCTACGAAATAACGGATGGATATCAAATATTCTGCGTCGACTAACCTAACGCTTCTGTGTTTCTTGCGAACGACTTTAAATCTTTTGGTGAAAAGATTTCATCTTGGCTTTTTCGACAATTGATACTGACGAGGAATCCCGACCTTCGCTTTCGCAGCCTTCAAAGACATCAAATGTTACTCCAGACACGTGTGCCAGAACTTCGATGTTCAATTGTTTTTAAGTTCACAACGAACCTTTGCTCTTAAGGCAGGCGGACTATGTATAGACTGTGCCTTCTTTCGTCCTGTCATGTCATTTGAAATTGTGTTTGCTAACCACTGCCATCAACAGGTACAAAAAATGTGTAAAATAAATCTGATTACCAGCATATCAGTTCGTGATAAAACTGTGATTTTTCTCTCCTGAGATCCATCTGTGACAAAAAGAAGATACGGGCATCACCAGTGTGTCACTAAGGGGTTGCCTAACGCTGTGAAACAGTAATTAATTTCTGGAAAAAAAATTATTTTTCGCTATGCGTTATCATAGCCAAAGTAAAATCGAATAACAAAAATTGCTTGCATAAGGAGGACAAACATTTAACGGAAACTAGAAGGAAGAACTCATCATTATTCACATTTATAATTATTCATTGATGAGTCCATGTTGCCGTGGAGTCAGAAATGCTTCACAGTACGTATACCGACCTTTCGCTGGTTTTTGGAAATCTGGTTTGGAAAGTCAAGTTTTTTTATGAGTTACGGTCATTCGCCTGTGCAAACAAAATGACGAAAACAGAATATATGGCAATCGGGATGCTTTTGCATGTTCCATGTTTTGCATACACCAACTGTGTCAAATTAAGTCTGACGATTGGGTGGATAATTTTGATATTCCGGTGAGGCCGAGATTTGGTTTTGAGGTTCTGAGGTGTG